CTCCCAGGGCCACCGGCAGGGCACAACCTCCCTTCTCCAAGAAGGCTTGCAAACACCTTTCGGCAGGGGCACTTAGGAGATGAGGCTCATTATTGCCCAAGGCTACAGAATCAGGAAACTGGAACAAGGGATTTATGGCAGCTGGTCCAGCCTTGCTGAGTGACTGAGTGACACCAGGAAGACAGCAGCTCACGGCTGGGGCTCCGGCTGCCTTCAGTTCTGCAGGGTCTACAGAACTGAGTGCTGTGTGTGTGCGTGTGTGTGTGTGTGTGTGTGCGTGTGTGTGTGCATGTGTGTGCATGTTTTGGTGGCTGGCCACTGTGGCGATCCAAACCCTTGACTTGGCTGTTATAACACCGCACTTTAACCAACTGAACTATCTGGCCAGCCCTTGGCTCCACAGAACTGAGTTCTTTCTAGCTCCTGAGCAGCAAGGCCACCCCATCATTCTCTCTTACGGCATTGTGTTTTGTTTCTTTATAGCACTTGCCATCTTTGTGTTTGAATAGCTATAGTTTATTCGTTTCTTATCATCTATGTCCTCTGCCAGGTTAGGGGCTCCATGAGGTCAGGGGCCACATCTCTCAGGTCACAGCATGTCTCAGAACCTTACACTATAACCAGCTTATAGCAAGGGTTCGATAAACATTGTCAAATATATGAATGAAGTGGGAGCCCAAGTCAGGTAAGACCCAGTTACTTATTTTGTTTCTTGCATGTGTTTATGAATGCTTTCCCCCTCCTTCAATGGAAAAATCAACAGATTGGAAGAATCGGAAGGGACTGATGGTTTTCGAGCATGTCCTGTGAGAATTCTCACAGTGAGCATATGCTGAGTGCTTGCTGAGCCCCAGGCTGCCCGGCCACCTATGAACCTGGAAGAGAGCTGTCAGAGTGCAATCCTCCTTTATTTTATTAACTTTTTTGATTTTTGTATTGTAACTTTTCTTACTCTTATTTGAAAAAATAAAGAAAAATGCTCGAAATCGTCCCATAATCCCTCCCCATTTTTAAAAAAGGTGCTAAAGTAGTGAAAATCCCCCATTTATTTCTCCAAATTCATCCCCAGAGGTTGTTTAAGGTGTCCCCTTCCAGAAGTTGTTGCAGTCATATCTACAAGTACATAGCTACAAATGCATGTCAGACAGTTTTTGTTATGATTCTCATTTCTGACCAATCAATATATCAAAAATATCTTTCCCCATCAGTACGTACGGATCTGACTCATTCCTAGCAAACGAGGTGTAGAGGTGTTAGAAGAGTGCATCAGCAACTGAGCCACCCTGTGGCTGAGCAGGGACCCGGGGCCAAACAGCGTTGACATGTCATGGGGCTCCGCTAGATCCTCAGTGCATTAGAACAGACGTGCTTGCTGGTGAACACAGGAAGCACGTGGAAACAGAGCCCATTGGAGTGCCCAGGTGAGCTTTAGCACCTGAGTCCTTGACAGACAGTACCCCACAGGACACCAAGGAGGGCACAGGGGCCTTTCCTGGGCCATGTTGGGGCTGAAGGACACGGACTGTCCTCTCCAGCCTATGAATGAGGGTGTCAGCCCTGGGAAGATAAAGGGGCCACGAGTCTGGACCGGAAGCAGACCGCCTCCACCCCACTCTCATTTAACCACTCTGATCTCCTTTGTTCATCTGTGAAATGTTGGTCACCCTTGATCCCTGTCAGCCAACGTATGTAAAATATTTCTAAGCCCTCAATCTCAGGAAGAGGCAAACACGGAGAATGAGAAAGGCGTCCATACATGCCCAAGGCTTTCGCAGGAAGCAGTGATGGAAGTCAGCTATTTCTGCCCTCTGGGGGTGCCAGCTCCACTCCCCTCCTAACTCACGTTCCAGCTTCGATCCTGGGATTCTGCTTTTCGGCACAAGCCCTCCCATCCTCTTCAGGAGCCTCGTCCCACTCACCTCTCGTCCCCAGGATAAATGACTTCTGTCTAAGGATATCCTGGCCACTCCCTCCCCTACCCCAGGAAGGTTTCAGGTCCTGTCTCCTGTACCCAAAAGAAAGGAGACTTCAAGAGATGCCAAGCTGTACACCTGAGTTCCCCATGGGACGTGTCCTGAAGACACTTTCTGTCCCCTTCTATAAACTCAGTAAACCAGGCCCTCTCAAGAGAAGCTGCAAGGATTCTCAAGCCGGGGACGAGGAGGAACAGCACCTCCGGACGGAGCCTGGGTGCTCAGCCCCGAGCCTCTGACCTCTCAACATGCAGACTTTCCCGGATGTCTTCAGAAGCCCAAGGCCTGGTGAGGAGGTGAGGGGGCAGCGAAGGCCAGGCGGTCTGAGAACATTCTTAGCACATTGCTGGCCCTGCCTCGATCCCCAACAGTTCAGCATTTCCTTACCTCCCGTGTGGAGAACACTGGCAACACTCTTATCAAACCTGCACATGACACAGAGCAGGGAGGATGTCATACGACTCAGAAGGCTACTGCACGGAGCTAAATCTAGAGAGGCAGGTGGCTTAACAAGGCTCAGCTCAAAGCCCCACACTTGATTTCCAGGAGCAGAAGGGCAAATGGGCAACTGAGACTCAAAAGCAATACCCTTGAGTAAAGACCACAAACCCACGAGAAGGCAGGGGGTGGAGGATCTTTTGCGCCCTTGGGCCTTTACGTACCTGGGTCTCCCCACTTAATGAAGAGCACTGCACACGAGCTCAGAAATGGAGTAGGACGGTGTAAAGTGATGGCCAGTTAAAGTGACCAGGGATGCTTAGAGGCTGGGACAGTATAGGTACCTTTAAACACAAGGAACTGTCATGTGCAGAAGAGACTGGAATTGCTCTCTGCAGCCTCTGAGAGTCAATTTAGAACCAATGACTCCAGTAATTAGGTAGGCGGGTATCAACTCAATACAAAAGAGAACTTTCTGACTTTTCAGGTAGTTTAAGATGGAATGGGCTGCCCCAGGAGTAGCAAGGTGCCATCACGGGAGGTTCCTGAGTGTCACGGTGTGCACAGTGGCATGTGAAATATCTAAGTATCAGTACGGGGGTTGGCCATGGGTGAGGGGTAAGACTCCATCAGGCACAGACATTGCACAGCAATGATTCTCAAGTCTGGCTGCGTATAAGAACTTCCTAGGGGACCTTTAAAAATACAGGCTCCCAAGCCCCACTGCTTGGGATCCTAATTCACTGAGAACAGTAATGTTCTTGAGATCCTGTGTTGTTTCAGAGCTCTGACTCTGATTCTTGGCTTCAAGATCTGGGAGCTCTGCTCCAGAATGTGTACCTCTATGAATCTGAAGGTGTAGGTACACCTGTGCAGGGGAGAGGACCTCTGCTGGTGCCTGCAGGAGCCAGCACTGCAGAAGACCTGACAGTTGCTGGCAGGTGGGAGCCCTGGCTACTCGAAGGAGCCTTCCCACCCAGTCTCAGACTCATACACAGAAGATATTGGCAGAGAGAATTGATCAGAAAATCCCACAGAAAAACTGGCCAACTTTCTTGTCCTATTTTTCCTCACCAATTAAGCATCAGCTAATTTGTTAAGCCTCTTTTCCCCACATGGAAATGAACAGTGCTTGGCTGCAGCCTTTTCCAGAGGGTGCAACTCACACAGAGGCTGGGATAGACGGCAAGGAGGAGAAGCCACCACAGATTTAGGAAGAACAACGCCTGCCTCCCTCTGCAATTACTGGAGAGCTGCCAGTTCCATGGGAAGAGTCCTAAGTGTTCACAGAGTGGTGGGCAGTGTCCCTCCCAGCACCACTAATTCCCCTTCTAAGTGCTG